TCCAAGCATATGGCAAGACCGCATCCTTAATGACGTGAATCGGTTCAAAAGTGATGTGGTTTTAAATTAAATCCTGCGAATCACCAAATGAGGCGTTCACTAACCATCCAACTGACCGTGTACCCATAGGAAGGCGGACATTTCTTTCGCTTAGCTCCCAATACTGTTCTAATCGATGACCTGGTGCCGTCAAGAGGCCATTTTCCGACCCTTTTAGCGTGTGTTCCCCGCCAAGTGCACAATGGGCAAATCCGATTGTCAGCCCAAATTTTGGCCGCTGGGAGGTCCTCTCCATCGAGCTTCAATGTTTTCGGCACAACGTCACATTATTGGGTAGCTATCTCGTCGTACACTCTCAGAGTCTCAAAGGATTCCAACGTTAGTCTGAGGCTGGGAAAATGCCACCCCGCCTCACGCAGACCAGGAGTTACGTTTCCAACTGCCCTGGCCTCGTCTGGCGCCTTGGGCTGCCTAGGGCACACGGTTTTCGGGGTCGAATCTTCATTATTCAATCATCTCATTGATATATACCACCCGTTTAGGTTCAAACAATGTAATTGATAGCGGACTACAACGCATTAAGAGTCGTTACGTAAAGCATAGAGGATAGCTATGAGTGTATGTATGCAAGGTGTGGTGTAATGGGAGATATCAAGATATATATAATAAAATACTCCGTGTATGCGAGTAAAGACTGGACAGGCCCGGGATGGTGGGGGTGAGTCGGTGCTCTTTTGATTATGTTGGGCCATTTTGGTGGAAATCCGTGTTTCCTTTTGAATTTTGCGCCCAGTGTGAGGGCTTTTATTTGTGGACGGTGGCGACGTGACGATCGACATTCTGCTTATGGAGGGACTTGTAGCTAAATGACTTTAATCCAAATTCTATTACTGATTAATAAGCTGATAACTAACCATACGGGACAAAACGCCTTCTCTCTGTCAACATGCTCCTTGAGGTATGCTCTGTGGCTGAACTTCTCTTGGCTATGCGAAACAATTAGTCCTTTGGACAGAGTATGGGCCATTTTGGGACATACCATTTGAGATTCTTGCATTTCCCTTGGCATTTGAATGGCCTATGATTCAAATGTTGCCTGATATGGCCGATAGCACGATCCTTCCTCAAAAAACTCTTGTCGCAGTTGTCGAAGGGGCATTGTCGCCCATCTTTCGAGTCCAAGAACGCCTCAAGAATCGAAGCATTGTTTTTCGTTCTTGGTTCGGGTGCATCATCTTGTAGCCATTGAGAGAATAAGCACTCGGAAAGGAGAGGAAAGAGCCTCTCCGCGTTCGGACCCGAAAGGGTAGGTCCCTTATGTAGATCAAAAGAATTGGGGCAACTCAGGGGTAACTCGTACTGATTGTATAAAGGCATGCAATGGGTTGAAGGATGCGAGAAATATAATTGGTCTTGAATGAAACTCCCCTGGAACTGGGGCGTCATGCCCCACATAGAGGGTGCAGAGCACTCTGGCATATCAATCGGTGTTACACCAGTATTAATGGCATAATGTATAGAGGGAGGGGTAGAGCCTGCAGAATTGGTGGAATTTGAGGCGCTTTCCTCCCCATGGAAGCCATCTATATCAATTATGTGAGCTTTTGTCCTCTCAGAGGAGGAGACTCTGCTCACTCAAAGTACTCGGGGAGCCAAATGTGTTATCAAAATTTATTTCATTTTCCAATGTGATAGGTTGCGGAGAGTACTGAAATGAAGTTGAAGAGGGGATAAACTCCATGTCCTGGACTAGCTGGTTCCAGATGTCTGATGGAGAATGGCAGTCATATATTTGCGCCATTGCGGATTGGGAATTGGATTGAGATGTCATGGGTTATGCAAGGAACTGATCTGGATAGGGTATAGCTTGGAGGAAGATCCTCTAGTGGATTATGGATGTCGTGGGTAGAGCGTGTGGAGATGTAGATCGAGTTGGTAGAAACGATGCCGGTCGAAAAGCTGTTCTTATATATAGCTGCCTTCCTATACATTACGCGAAGGACTTTGGAGGAGATAGTGGCAGCGGTGAGGGAAAAGGCAGGATTTAATTTAAAACCACATCACTTTTGAACCGATTCACGTCATTAAGGATGCGGTCTTGCCATATGCTTGGA